CTTTTGATTAACGAGAAATTACGGGTGTGTTTGGTTTGTATTTTAAAACATGTTTTTAGAAGAAAATTTCTAAAAACATGTTTCGTTACTAATTTTTTTAAAAAAATTTCAAAATTACTTCCCTCTTTATTACATATCAATCAATCACTTTTTCTCTCTCCTCTGTCCTCCTCAATCACTTTTTTTCTCACACATATCTACTCAATTACAACAAAATATCAAATCATCTCAAATTCCCATATTCTAAAACTATTTTCAAAATATATAACCAAACAAACCAAAAAAAATTCTAAACTCTCTCTCCAAATTTTTTTTAAAAAATTTATCTCAAAATACAAACCAAACACACCCTACATTTTTATCTCCTAACTAATAGTGAGTGAGTTATTCACTCAAAAAAAATGTTGAGGGAGCATGTTTCACCTTTAAAATTTTTCACTACATGGTTGATTTAGAGGTCTGCATTAAATAACATGACAAACACATTTTTAAAAAAATATATATGCTTAATTCTTCATGTGCAAAATATAAAGAAAAATGTATAAATTAATCACTTGTAGGCTAGATTTATGGGTTCAAGTTACGGGACAATCACTTTCTGTACCATGTCAAAGATTAGATGTATATCCAATTATTTCGCTCCCAAACACACATTAATATGTATTAATTGAGCATTGTTGTTTTTATTTTCTTGTTTTATACAACTTTAAAGTAATTCCCATGTAATGTGGGCATTTTTCAATATTTCTAGAGGGAAGTGAAAGGGAGGAGGAAGTTCCACCACACCACACGCTCCGCTTTGGACTTGATTTGGCTTGAATAATTTTTTTTTTAAAGTGGTTTTATTTACTTACACAAGTTTTAATTCAATTAATTTGGTATTGAAAAAAATGATACATGCCAATATATAACTGGGGCTCATTTGGTATTTTATTGTTTTATAAATTGAAAGCTAATAATCATATAGTAGAATTCAGAAGCATTTTTCTTCCAACTTTTATATAATTAATTTTTTCTATCTTATTTACATTATTTTTGTCTAATAAAATATAAACATAAATTATATCAAATCATCTCACACATACTCCTAAAATATAACTAAAAAATATAAGGGGAACTACGTAGGAGTTGCGAGAAAAAAATTATAAATATATGGGAGTGCAAGTGTGTCTGTGATAGGATGTAAATGAAAGATTGTGAGGATACATGTGTCACTTGCACCCTTTCATGTATTGATAATTTTTTTTTTTTTTTCTAACTTTCATTTACATATAATTCTCCAAAAAATATAAACAACTTATAGAAGCGGTCACAGAACAATCCTATATAGGCCCCGTTTGGTATAGCTGTTAAAACAGCTTATAGATTATAGCTTAACAGATTATAGATTATGACTTTAATCAGAAGTTGTTAATCTGTTTGGTGTAACTGTTGGACTATAGATTTAAGTTGCTGAGTAGTGTTTGTTAAATAAGCTGTGAAATAGTTTTTTCAATTAATTTTTATTTTTTGTTTGTCTACATTTCTCATAAAAAATAATAATAGTAATCTATAGTCCATTTGAGTCTTTTTCTATTTTTAAAAAAATAAAAAATAAAAAAAATTAAGAGTATAACCATAAATTAACATATCCACAACAGAAGCTGATAATCAGAAGCAATGGGTGAGCAGCTTCTCAGAATCAGCTTTTTTGAGTTAAAATAAGCTGTTAGAATCAGAAGCTGTTTGAAATAAGTTTAATCAAACAGTCCAAAATAACTTTTTCAAAGCTAAAAATCATAAGTTGACTCTGAAAAACTGAAACAAACACCCCCATAGAGTAGGTACTTTGAAATGTTGATTGCCTTAAGGGACATCAGCTTGCTGGGACCTTTTATGTGGGCTGATATCGGACCAATTTCGATTATTTGAATTGTTTATATTTATTATATTTGTAATTACTGTCTTATCAATTGACAAAATAAATAAATAAAAAAATCACCTCCAAAATTGATGTATTTGTAAGATTTTCATATATTTTAGTTAATTATACACATTACTATAAAAATTAAAATTGCAAATTAGTTTGTTTGAGCTAATATTTGATTAAGTTTGAAATTAGGTAAAAATTTCACAAAAAAAGAAAAAAAAAAGAGTAAAAACAGAGAAGTGAGAGTATATAAGAAACCCATTTATCATATAATTATCATTTTGAATCTTTCTAAAAATGGGGAGATTGGGAGAGAAAATAAATTAATAAATTACTATTTTTTTGTAATATCAATACTAGAAATAAAAAAATTGACACTTATAAAAGTTATTTTGGTAATGCAATATATAATAACTTTTTTTTTTCTCTCTATGTAATTTAACCAAATAAAATGTGAGAAAAAATATTTTCTTTTATCTCATTTTCTCTCATATTTATCTAAACAAAGAAAGAAAAAAAACATTTTTTTTTAATCTTCTTTTATGAAATCAAATTTTTTTTCCAATGTTCCCAGACATAGTGTGATGGTGGAAGCACAACGTAATACCCAATTATGATTTGCATAACTTTTTGATGTGTTTGCCGACACGAAGGACCTTTGCAGGAATTAGCAGATTTTTAAGAGTAATGGTAGAGATCTCAAATATTTTATTAAAAGTTTTATCAAATGTTTCATATGGGTGTGAGACTCACACAATGTGAGTCCCATGTGAGTCCCACACTCATGTGAGATATTTGACTTTTGATAGAATTTTTGAGACCTCTACCATTTTTAAATTTTTAAAGCAAAAAGTAGGTAGGAAGAACAAGAACATGAGAAGTTATTTGGTGCTCCACGACATAACAATAACATGTGGTGTTTTAAAATGTGATTGGTAAAATTAATAGAGTCTATTGATTTCGGTTGATGACGAGAAACAATAGAAAAACTTGACAAATAGAGTCTATTGATTTCGGTTGACGACGAGAAACAATAGAAAAACTTGACAATTGGTGATTATTTAAAGACAAAAACACGTGGTGCTCTAAAAAAATTTAATAATTTCTAAAGAATATAGTCATATATATATTAGAGAAATTATAATCAGTGTAGGAGTACTTTATTAAAATAATTATATATTCATAAAAAAATTTATGACTTTAAATATTTAAATTTGTAAAATTTACTACTTATGTATTTTTTTTTCTTTCTTTCTAAACATACACTGATTTGATATTTTCACTATTTTTTTTCTTTAGTTTTTTTTGATTGATTTTGATGGCCACGATGATGATAATGTGATGATACATGTTGTCATTTTGAAGGAAAATTATACTATAGTTTAGGGAAAATTCATGTGGTATTTCAAGATAATTTTTTATCAGTTTTATATTTGTATTGATATTTGAGAGATAAATATATAAAGTGACAGCTAAAATTTGTTAATAAACACTAAAAAAATGTCAAAATATTTACAATTTTAATATACTTTTTACATATTTTAAAATATTTTTACACACTAATGATAACGGTAAGAAGTATTATTTTAGCATTTTCCATATGGCATCATGTAAATGACTTGGAATATTGCTGGAGGACCACCAAATACCCACTCATTTTGAAGCCCTTACAAACAAACACTCAGCCAAGCATATCATCATCTTTTGGAGTCAGCAATCAACTTGTAACTAAAATACGAGTGGTTTGACGGTGACTTTGGAGTCAATGCAATTGAAAAGCATGTGAAGCTATTGAAGTCTTCTTTTTTTAACCACACCAAATAATTTTAAAGGCTAATTCTATGCTATACGCTCTACTCATGAAATTTTGTGTTTTGATTATCAATTACATTTTACATTCCAATAAACAAATAAAAATTGTGGTGGTCAAATTTGATTGTGCTATGTTATTAATTTAGAGACTGAACTAGAATTTTCACTTGGGCCCAACGCATGAGTTTTCTTCTGATATATATTCTTTTGTAACAGTAAAAATTGAAAGGCCTAATTAATGTATAGATTTTATCATGTTGTGTATTATTATTATTATTTGATATTTTTTATTTTAATGTTTTTTCTTGGGTCTAAAACTTATTATGTTCTTGATTTTAATTATATAATTATGTTAGATAATGATATTCACGTGCTTTTAAAAAATAACATAATTTTATTAAAAAAAAAAATTTAATTCTTGTTATAATTGATATTTAATAAAATATGACTACAATCATTTTTTTCACACTTTTCTGCCCGCCTTGACAAAACAAAATGCAAGTCCCAAAAAACCCAAATGTAGACCATAGTTACAATTGTGCCGATCCATTTTGTGAAATAACAAAAATGACTTTAACGTTGTCCCAATATAGTTGGGGTAACATTTGAAACCAAATATAGCCCAAACAAAGTTATTGGACTTACCCGATGGATCACATGGTTGGTTCACTTGTGGCTGAAGACACATCTTGTTGGGTGATTGGTCTATCATTGATCCCATAAAATACAATAAGTCTCACAATTTTAACATAATTATATTAATTAATTTTTAAAAATGTTAAATGGATTGAAATAAATACAAATTGTGTGAAAATACAAAAATAAATAACGTAAAATATATATTTTTATGTAAAAGAAATGATATTATCATTTTTTCGATTCATATAACTAACAAATTATTGATGAAAAGAGAATTAAGCGTATATGAATTAATATCTAAAGAGAGATCAATATAATTATGTTAAAATTATGAGACTTACTATATTTTCTTCAAATTTCAGAGGAGTTCAGTGTAATATACCCAAATTAGTAATGTTGGGTGTTAATGAGAGGAATAGAGATACAATCACAATACATTTATACAGCCATACACACTATATTTAAATTATAGATTTGGATGGCAATTAAATATATATATATATATATATAGAAAGAAAGAAAGGAAAAAGGTTACTGAACAATTTATCTGATCACAGTCAAGCTTCCTCAATGGCACGAGAACTAGAACTAATGGAACGCGTTTGAAATGGTTACAATGGGGTTGGTTTAATGCACATGCCTAATTTATAGCAGCCTTGACTAGAGGTTTTGAGGCCATTGCAGAGATTGAGAATTGCTCTCCTTGTGGTAATTCTTCGACCAATCTTGACAACTTCTCCACAATCTCTCCCGCACTCGGCCTCAACCCCGGGTCATCCTCCACACAAGCTCTCGCCAGATTTGCCAACGTGACAGCTGCATCAAACGAATAATTCTCACCCAACGTGTTGTCCATCCATTCCCTCAGCTCCTCTGCATTCTCTGACTCTAATATCAATTTAATTTTCTCGGATAGCCAAACACTCCCTTTCCCTTTCTCATCGTCCCTAATTATCGGTGTTTTCCCAGATAACACCTCAAGCAAAACCACACCATAAGCGAAAACATCGCTGCTCAGGGATGTTGTACCCTGCTGGATACACTCAGGTGCTAAGTACCCTTTACTCCAAAACCTAGGATCACTTGAACAAGAAGCCTTGTCATCAACACCGTCTTCAACGCATCTTGCCATGCCAAAATTCCCAATTTTTGCATTGAATTCTTCATCTAGAAAAACGTTTTTGCTTTTTATGTTTCTGTGAACATAGCTTGGAATCATAATCTGATGCATATACTGCAAGGCCGTGGCTATGTCAAGACAGATCTTGAGCCTTTGATTCCAATTCAAGAAACAATAGCATGAAGCGATGAATTGGCTCTTCATCGCCAACCCACCATGAAGCCAGTCCTTCAGGGACCCATTCTTGGCATACTCAAAAGCCAAAAATGAATCAGGACCGTCTGTTGAACACGTCCCAATCAGCCTTATTATGTTGGGATGGTGGTGAGTTGCATCCTGGAAAAGCCCGAACTCAATCTTTGACACAATCTCAGTTTTTTCACGCTTAATTGCCAAGTTTTTGCCTTTGAGACGGCCATGAAACACAGATTCTTCAATGAGATTATTCGAATTGAAGTCCTCAGTTGCCTTCTTTAGCTCTTCAATGGTATATGTCTCCAACACCATCTTGTGAGGTGTGGCGTCGATGATCTGACCATCAAGAGTGTCTTGGGAGCCCTGATCAAATGAGACTTTCTTCTCGCTCGTGGTTCGTATGCTTAGGCTGAGTTGTTGAAGCTCCAAATCTACCATCTTGCATGGAATCTCCATATTCTTCTTCGCTTTCGTCCTTGCTTTCCATTGAATCACCAAGAAGGCTGCTGCAATTACGATGCCAGCTCCAAATAAAGATGCGCCAAGAGCAATATAAAGTCCAATCTGCCACATTTTCGACTTCCTCTTGTGTGGATTGATTCTAGGGATGGTGGTTGATGGAAATCCTAAATTGGGTTCCTGAGGTTTCACAAAAAAACCAAAAACAGGCTTGGTTTTGAGTGGAATCAGAAGAGTAGAAACTGGTACTAGCCTTTCTGGTTTGAAACTTGTTCCGGATCTGTTATTTGCAGAGAGGATGTTCACTGGAGTGACATTGAACTTCAAGGCCAAGTTTGAAATGGTGTCACCTCGACTCACAGGATAAGAAATCAGAAGCTTGGTTTGCTGACCGAGCTCAGAGGAAGACGGGCAGGCGCATTTGATTGGAATCAGCAGCTGAACCTTGTCACCAAGATCCCAAGGTGAAACACTTGGGTTCTGCACTCGAATAGCTTTGCAAGTCGTTAAGCCCTCCAACGACTCAGCAATGCTATAAAAGCTCTCGCCTCTGATGGAAATTTTAACTAGCACAACAAAAACGGGCGTGGCAGACGAGATAACGGAGAAGACCCAGACAAAAGATGGCTGAGAATCCGCACTGCCATAACCACGGTGTTCAAAAAACCAATATATCGGATTCTGAGCGAAATCAAGGATGAGCCTTTTGTCAAGTGGCCAGCCAAGCTTGGGGAAGCTCAGAAGAATTACGACGACAGATCACGGTGCACCTTCCACCAAGAAAAGGGGCACCGAACTGAGAATTGCACGCCACTGAGACAGCACTTGGAGGAATTGGTGGCAGCAGGACACTTGGATAAGTACATTGAAGGAGGGACGCAGCCAGCCCCCCAGGACCATAATAACCACCCCAATGGAATGCCAATAGACGCCCCGCCTCAAGGCGTCATCAATGTCATACATGGAGTCTTTGAACCTGAGCGTGTATGCGAGCTCAGGGGATCGATCAAAAAGGCAGAACACTTTAGAGAAGTACTAAGTGCCCAACCAGCCATCAAAAAGGGGAAGACGAAGGCAACAAACGTCATGACTTTTTCCGATAAAGACTTGGAACGAATTTACTGCCCCCACAATGATGCCCTGGTCGTCACTCTCCGAGTCAAGGATTTTGACGTCAAGCGGATTCTGATTGACCAGGGTAGTTCATGTGAAATCATGTACTACGAGACATTCAAGCAATTGAAGCTGCAAGACAAAGACTTGGCACCTGCCGTATCTCCCCTAATTGGGTTCAACTCCATGCCAGAATGGCCCGTCGGCAAAATCATTCTTCCAGTCAGAGCAGGAACCGTGACAAAACAAGTGGAGTTCTGGGTATTGAAGGTCCCCTCCACTTACAACATCATCTTAGGCAGAACATGGCTGCATGCCATGCGATCAGTGGCGTCATCCTACCACCAAGTAATGCGGTTCCCCAACAACACCGGCATAATTAAAGAAGTCTATGGAGATTAGATCATGTCAAAGCAATGCTTCGTCACGGCGAATGGCAGCCGCGCTGCCAAAGGATATGTTCATTCGGTGGAAGAACCGGAGAGTAATGAGCTATTCACAGATGTCGGCAAAGCGGCGGACCGGAAAGCAGTGGAGGATCAGGAGATGGCAAGTTAAGGCCAAACTGGGAAGGTCCTCACAAAGTAGTTTGGTTAACAGACAAAGGGGCATACCGCCAAGACAAGGACGGCAAAGCAATCCCTAGGCCATGGAACACGGCCAACCTCAAGTTATTTTACTTTTAGTTTTTTTCTTTCTAGCACGTGTAATTTTTTCTTTCTTCAATAAAACAAGCGAATCTTTTCAGCATGAGTTGTTCTCTGTAAAAATTAGCTTTAGTGAAGATTAGGTACATAGCAAGCATTTTACTCTAAGTTAGCTGGAAAAACTAACTCAGAGGTTGGCTGGAATAAACCAACACCCCTCCTAAGCCCAGGATAAGGATCCAAGCTGCAGGACGTTTGGTCAAAATAACCAAACATTATTCTAAGTTAGCCGGAAAAACTAACTTAGAGGTCGGCTGGAATAAACCAACACCCCTCC